TAGCAGGGGTCGTCGTGGAATTAGCAGTCGTCGTAGTAGTAGTCGCCACCGTAGTAATAGTAGAAGTAGTTCCAGTCGGTAGTAGTAGTAGTAGTAGTAGCAGTAGTAGTAGTAGTAGTAGCAGTGGTACTAGTAGTAGTTGTTGTAGTAGTAGTAGTAGTAATAGTAGTCGTCGCGTTGATGTAGTAGGCGTAGTAGATCCGTAGTAGTCGTGGTAGCAGTCGCTGCTAGAGTCGCAGAGGCAATAGACGGGGTAGTTGCACGCGTCGTAGTAGGACGACTAGTAGCAGTAGTAGTAGTAGCAGTAGCCGCGGAAGTAGTAGTAGAAGGCGTCGTACTAGCAGTAGTAGTAGAAGGAGTAGTCGTAGTAGTAGTGGCTGTAAACGTAGTAGCCGTAGTAGTAGTAGTAGTAGTAGCAGTAGTAGTAGTAGCAGTAGTAGTAGTAGTAGTAGTAGTAGTACGTAGTACGTAGTACGTAGTACGTAGTACGTAGTACGTAGTACGTAGTACGTAGTAGTAGTAGTAGTAGTAGCAGCAGTAGTAGTAGTAGTAGTAGTAGTAGTAGTGGTGGTAGTAGTAGTAGTAATAGTGGTAGTAGTAGAAGTAGTAGTATTTGTCGCCGTCGTCGTAGTAGTAGTAGTTGTCGCAGCCGTAGTCGTAGTCGTAGTACCCGTGGCAGCTGAATTACCAATGGCCGCAGTTGCGTTGGGATTGGTAATGGTGGTGGTAACAGTAGTGGTCCCACGTAGTTTAATAGTCAGACTAGTAGCAGTAGTAGTAGTAGTAGTAGTCGTCGTAGTAGTAGTAGCAGTAGTAGTATTAGAAGTCGTCGTAGTAATCGTAGTGGTCGTAGTCGTAGTAGTAGTAGTAGTAGTAGCAGTAGTCGTAGTAGTAGCACTAGTAGTTGTTGTTGTAGTAGTAGTAGTAGTAGTAGTACTCGTAAACGTAGTTGTAGTAGAAGTAGTTGTAATAGTAGTAGTAGCAGTACCAGTAGAGGTTAGCAGTAGTAGTAGTAGTAGTAGTAGTCGTAGTAGCAGTCATAGTAGCAGTGGTTGTTGTAGTAGTAGTAGTAGTAGTAGTAGTAGTAGTAGTAGTAGTAGTAGTAGTAGTAGTAGTAGATGTAGTAGTAATTGTAGTCGTCGTCGTAGTCGTAGTCTTAGTCGTAGTCGTAGCCGTAGTGGTCGTAGTAGCAGTAGCGGTGGTCGTCGCTGCTGCACTGGCCGTCGGTCGTGGTAGTCGGTGTAGTAGTGGTAGTCGGCAGCAGTAGCAAGAGTAGTCGTAGTCGTAGTAGCAGTAGCAGTAGTAGTAGTAGTAGCAGCAGTAGTTGTAGTACCAGTAGTAGCAGATGTAGTAGTAGTAGTAGTTGTAGTAGTAGTAGTAGTAGTCGTCGTCGTCGTCGTCATCGTCGTCGTCGTAGTAGTAGGGGCAATCGTAGTCGCAGTCGTAGTAGAATCAGCAGCATATGTAGTAGTGGTAGTCGCTTGTGTAGTCGCTCCGGCACACTTATCAGCACTGGCCGTACTAGCATCACCACCAGACATATCGCGGGTTTTTGCCAGCGCGCGAGGCGCCCGCTATGGGCCCCCGGGCGGGCCCCGGCGAGCATCCAGAAAGCATCACACCGCGAGGCCCCCACGAAACGCCAACGTGGGGGGCACCAGGAAGCCGGGAAGGCAGATTCTCCCCCCCTGGCGGCGTCCCCAGCGCCGCCCCCGGTGCTCTCCACGAAGGAGGGGGGTCAGCGCCGACCCAAGAAGTCAGCGCAGACGCCCGACGCATCAGTCCGTGTAGTTGTTTGGTATTATCGTTTTCGTATGGTTCTGACATCTCTGAGGTTCTGGAGGTGTTCTCGTCGCCGAGGCTGGTTAGCTTTGAAGTTCTGCCTTGTCCTTTCGGGTCTTCAAGGTGGCCTTTAGGGCCTGAAAAGTGCATCCTTTTTCCCCCAAATCGATCCCGTAGTAAGCGACGCCCAACTGCCCCGAGGCGCGCCACGGAGTTTCTCTTGCCGCCGCTCAGCCAGGACCAGCCTGTGACATGACATTCGCTTTATCCGGGCGATTTTTGTGATGTGGTCACCCGCTGGTGCAGACGCCTCCCGCGAAGAACAACGAGAAACCGCATATTTTCCAACCTTCGCGTGGATTTCTTGGATCGGCGTTGGGCCCCCCTGACAGCGCCTCCGGCGCCGCCCCTGGCGCGCGGAGCGCGCTAAGGTGGCGGGCCCAGCGCGGACTGGACCTCTGAGAAATAATGTTGGTGTTGCTTGGTTTTGTAATGTAGCCATCGTCTGGCGAAGGCGCTTCTCCCCCGAGCCTCGATCGAGCACTGACCTTGGCATCTTGGGCCATCTCGGGGCCATCTTGGGAGCTTCTTGGGCCGCCTCGAGCTGGTTGGAAACCCGAAGAGGCGAGAACTGCAACACTTTCTGGCATAACCGCTGATTCGGGCCTCTTCGGGCTCAGCCTCTGCCCCCCGGACGTCGATGCCGTGCCCCGACAGCCCCGATCCCAGAGCCGCGCGAGGAGCTCGGCCGCGAGCTGTGGCCACGCCTGCCCTGCGACAGCGTGGTGGCCCTGGAGCCGGGCTCCATCGGGAAGCGCGCGTGGCTCACGATGCACTACGTGCTGGCGGCGCCGCCCGCCTCCAGCCCGCGCCGCCGTGGAGGAAGGGCTCGGCTTCGGATGCGATTTCTGAGAGGCTGAACTCGGAATCGGCGCCGGTGCATCCCGTGGTCGAAAGCCGCCCTAGTCCGCAATGATCGCGCTCCATTCTGCTGAAGCCCGCTTGGTATGGATCAGTCCGGCTCAGCCGTGGACTTGATCTGGCTTGGTCCCGCTCAGTGGCTCCTCCATCGGGCTGAGTAGCTCTCAATCGGTCTTGAGAAGACCTACCAGGAGTTGCACCCCAACCACAAATGGGATGGCTTGGCAGGGGGCGTCCTTCCAAGCAGGGGGGGGCTCCAAGAGGAAGGCTCGGCCATGAATCCGGCCAGGGTGAGCTCAGCCAGGCCGAACTCGGCAAGGCTGAGTGAGCTCTACTGGGGCCGAATTCGGTTTGGCCGAGCTCAGCCTGGCTGGCATCCCCCTGCCGAGTTCGGCCTGGCCGATTGGTGGCCTCTTGGAAGGAGGGGGCCTTCTTAGAAGGGACAGGGGGCTTCCAGCGAGGCGTCCGAGAAGTTGGGGGGGGAGGGGCTTTTTCAGAAGGGCCTTTCCATGTAAGAGGCCTTCCGCCTTGTCAGAAGGCATTCTTCCCTGGCACCACCCATCTTACGCGCCGGCCAAAGGGTTCCTGAGAGAAGGGGGCACTCGCCAGACCCCGGGGCTATCAAAAACATCTCGGGATGAAGAGTTGGTCCGGGGGGGGACGCCCTGGGTTCCAGGACCCGTTTTCTTCAGGACCCGTCTCTCTCTCTCTCTCTGTGTCTCTGTGTCGTTGTCTCTTTGTGTCGCTGTGTCTATGTGTCTCTGTGCATATGTGTCTCTGTGTGTCTGTTTCGTTGTGTCTCTGTGTCGCTGTGTGTGTATCTGTGTGTCTGTGTCTATGTGTCTCTGTGTCGCTGTGCCTCTGTGTCTCCGAATGTGTGTGTGTGCCTGTGTGTCTGTGCGTCTGTGCGTCTGTGTGTCTGTGTGCCTGTGTGTCTGTGTGTCTCTGTGTCCGCGCGACTGTGTGTCTGTGTGTCTGTGTGTTTGTCTCTGTGTCTCCGTGTCTCTGTGTCCCTCCTTGTGTCTGTGTGACTGTGTTCCTGTGTGTCTCTGTGTCTCTGTGTCTGCGTGTCTCTGTGTCTGTGTGCCTGTGTTACTCTGCGACTGTGTGTCTGTGTGCCTGTGTCTCTTTGTTTCTGTGTTGCTGTGTCTCTGTGTCTCTGTGTCTCTGCGTGTTTTTGTCTGTGCCTGTGCCGGTGCCTGTGTGTGTGTCTGTGTCTGTGTCGGTGCATGTGGCCGTGCCTGTGTCTGTGTCTGTGTAACTGTGCGATTGTGTCTCTCTGTGTCCCTGTGTCTGTGGGTCTCTGAGTCTGTGGGTCTCTGTGTCGCTGTGTCTCTGTGTGTCTGTGCCTGTGCCTGTGTCTCTGCCTGTGTCTGTGTCTGTGTCCGTGTGACCGTGTTCGTGTCTCTGTTAGTGTCTGTGTCTGTGGCTGTGTGTCTGGGTCTCTGTGTCTCTGTGTCTGTGTCTGTGTGTGCGCGTCCATGTTCGGCAGCCGACGGCGCAGCGATCGGCGTCACCAATCGTAGCCAGCTTGACTTCGGCAGCCGATTGCGCAAACTCTGGCATCACTAATAGCAGGCAGTTTTACTTGGGCAGTCGAGGGCGCAACTCATGCCCTGGCCACTAATGGCAGCGCTGCCTATGTTTAGACATTGCGCGTTCTCTTGGTATATGTTGTTACTATTGCGCGTTGAGTGACGAACTGACTGGTTGGCTGGCTGATGGATTGGTTGGATGATTGCCTTCGCCATTCAAGGCTGCACCACAAGGATTGCATAGGATGCTCTGCACTGCGCGAGAATTTCACCGCACAACCTGCACATCGAAGGTGAAACAGTCTATTGGTTGTGGCCAACGTTGGTTGACATACGATGGCAAGATGGCGCCAACCGTAGTGGTTTGGCCATAGGGCATCAGCCGTGGAGCAACAACCACAGGGTACCGCCGTGGGGTGCCGGGGGGCAGGGTGGTCAGCCGGCCGGCCGCGGTCGATGGGGCGGCCGATGGGGTCGGCCGGCCGCGGTCGATGGGGCACCAACCCTAGAGCACGACAGGGCACCAGCCCTAGAGCACAAACCATAGGTCAACAAGCATATGGGGGGCACCAACCATGGATCACCAGGGCACAGGGCGCCAGTCATGGGACCCCAACCCGCCTATGGCCTAACGCGGCCAGTAGCTTTAGTCCCTCACGTCCCAAGTAACGTGCCTTCTGAGTGCAAGAACTATCCGGGGAAGCTAGACCTTTGGCTTCATTGTGGCGCCGCCCAGAAGCTGAGGGAATAAGAATGAAGTGAGAGGTTAGGGGCAACGTTACGAGGGATGGGTTCAGAGAGGGACGTATCGACTCTCAAATCGCCCACCCATCGGCGACAGAGACCCACACATGCCAACCCGCCCAGAAGCGTTCGAATCCGCTATCGGGAGCCCATCGCCGATCTGTCGGCGATGCACCGCCGATTCCAGGTCGATGTGCCCCCCCCCCCTGAACCGGTCCGCCCCCCATGGGGGAAAGGCAGAAGGTGGCCCGTCCCCCATGAGCACGTCCCCACCCCCCGATGGGCGCGCCCGGCGGGGAGGCAGAAGGGGGCCCGCCGTCTCAGAATCGGGGGAGCGTAAGACACGGGTTTGCCAGGACTCGGGTTCGCCATCGTTTTTTGACGACCGCGCCTCGGATTTTGACGAGGAGGAGTTTCGTGGGATGTCTGCAGCGGGAGGCCTCGTCAAAATGCAGGCTCGGCCTCGTCATTTTTTTGACGACCTCGTCGGGGATTTCCGAGTCCCCCGTACCCGGGTCTTACGTCTCCCCGACAGAAGGCGGGAGGCTTCTCGGAGGCCCTCTGGCCTTTTGAGAAGCCCTCTGCGTCTGCGGGGGAGGCTCAGAAAGCTTCTCAGAAGGCAGGAGGCCTTCTGAACAATTGTTTTTGCTTCGAGCGATCCCCACCGAAACTTTCGGCATCCGTCCTTCTCCTCCTCCTCCTCCTCCTCCTATTCCTTTCCTCCCTCCTCCATCCTTCCTCCTTCCTCCCTCCTTCTCCTCACCCTCCCTCCTCCTCCTGCTCCTCATCATTCTACTCCTCTTCCTTCCCCTCTCCTCCTCCTCCTCCTCCTCCTGCTCCTCCTCCTCCTGCTCCTCCTCTCCTCCTCTCCTACTCCTCCACCTCCTCCTCCATCTCCTCCTCCTCCTCCTCCTCCTCCTCCTCCTCCTCCTCCTCCTACTCCTACTCCTACTCCTACTCCTACTCCTCCTACTCCTACTCCTCCTACTCTTCTTTTTCCCACGACGACGACGACGACGACGACGATGACGACGACGTGGAGGCGGAGAGGCGCAGAGGAACAGGGCGCGGGGAGCGACGACGGCGACGACGGCGACGACGACGACGACGACGGAGACGACGGCGACGACGGCGACGACCACGACGACGACGACGACGACGACGACGACGACGACGACGACGTCCGATACAGTGCCCGAAGCAACCTCTCGCTGCGCGGTGGCCGCAAAGCCCGCCGCGCATGCTTGTCCCCGTCAGCGCGGCGGGCACCACCCGCGGTCGCTTGTTGTCCGTGCCAGCGCCTGGTGCGACCGATCCCACTTTGTAGGGTGGGGAGCAAGTCTGATGTGCTCTGTCATGATCTTGTTGGGTATATTATGTGTTGCTATGTCATGCTCTTTTCTGTCATGCTCTGCTCTGTCATGTTATGCTCGGCCAAGTTATATCATGCTATGTTCTGTGAATTGCCGCTCTGTCCCGTTCTGTCATGCTCGTCGATGGCGCGGGTGGCGGGAAATTCGGGTGACATTCCGTGGACTTGGGGATCTGGTGGCCGCGGTATGCAGGGTGGGCTGGTCTGGAGGTCTGTTCTTAAAATCTAACGACCTCAGCCTGTCGGGTGGGGGAAAGGTCAGGAGGCCCTCTGAGTCGTCTGAGGAGGCCCGCCCCTTCCGCCTTCCCAGCCCTCCTCCCCTAAGGGGCGCCCTATCCAAAGTCCTCTTTTCCCCCAGGGGCGGGGGAGGAGCGAGGGTCGAGGGAGGAGGGGAAGTAGAAGGACATCCGGCGCTCAATGTTCCCTCCTCCTCCTCCTCCTCCTCCTCCTCCTCCTCCTCATACTCCTCATACTCCTCCTACTCCTCCTACTCCTCCTGCTCCTGACGCTTCCCATGCGTAAGTTTCACATGCGCGTGTTTTGCTTTGTTTTGCATATATGTTTCTCATGCTGGCGCTTGGGCGCCCCTACCGCCGCGCCTTCATGGCGCCGCACGCGCGGAGCCGAGTCCGAGTCCGAGACATCTTATTTCGATGCGTGGACCCCCAGAGGTGAGTCCGATGCGGCCCAGCATTGTTTACGGCCTGCAGGAAGGGCGGGCAGGTTCGAGATTCGGGGTTCGGGTAGGTTGTGTGTTTGTTGCTTGCCTTTTGCAGCCCCTGGGGACCGCTTTCGGGCCCTGGGACCGCGAAAAACGGATCCAGGGTGAAAAACTCCACCAGGTGGACCCCGGGAGGGGTCCTGGAGCAGATTCTGGTTTTGGCTCCCCCCCCCCCTCTCGGATCGAGCATCTGAGATCCCAGAAAGTTCAGACCCCCTGGGGGCCCCTGGCCGCCTCCAAGTCTGGACAACTTCCCTGGGGCTGGCTTTTTTCATCCCGAATTGTTTTTAGACGGTCCCGCGACCCAGCTGCGGTCCCCAGAGGCAGGAAGCAGCACCAGATTGGCCATTCCGGTTTTGCCGGAGCTTCGGATCTCCAGGGGGGGGACCGGGATCGAGGATTCAACCCAGGCCTCCCAGATGGGGCCGATGCATCGGCGATGCGGCTCGATGTGGATCCCGATGTTCTCCACGCCGACGTCGCCAGTGCCGTCGCCCATGAATCACCGACGCCTCGCCGATGCATCGCCGGTACATCGGCGATGCCGTGCAAGCCTGCGAGCCCATCTGCTCCGATCCCATCTAGGAGGCCTCCGAGCAGAAGGAGTCGTTGCCCCTCAGGAGGCGGAGGGTAGGTCGGACGGGAATCGAGATAAGTCCGTTCGAGAGCGCTTCGGAACGCTCTCAGAGCGTTCCGGAACGCTCTGAAACGGCCATGGCGCCCGAGACATCCTCCAAAAGAGCCGAGCCTCCGAGATTTCCGACGCGACACCGTCTCGATCTCGCTTTCGTCTCAGTCAGAGGGCAGCCGCCGTGGCAGCGCTCTCCCCCCCGGCGAGAGCAGGCGCCGCCCGACGGCTGCTGGGACTACGCCGGTGCCGGCTGCTGCCCCCGTGGAGCGCTGTGCCGCTGGCCGCACGCCCTGCCCCAGAGCCTCACCGTCGACATCGAGGTTGCCTCGGGGTAGGGGGTTCTCTGCTCCAGGCCTCCCCTCCTCTTCCTCCTCCTCGTTCTCCTCCTCCTCCTCCTCCTCCTCGTTCTCCTCCTCCTCCTCCTCCTCTTCCTCGTTCCCCTCCTCCTCCTCCTCCTCCTCTTCCTCCTCCTCCTCCTCCTCCTCCTCCTCCTCCTCATCCTCCTCCTCCTCCTCGTTCTCAGGCCTCCCAGATTCGGGGGTGGACAGAACCCCCAACAGTGACACGTCGATGAGTGAATTGTCCGTGGTCGGTTCTCGATGTGGGCGCCGTGGCCGTTATTTTCCAGGCTTGCGCCCGCCAGGTTTGGGCCCGAGGTCGTTTTCGCTAAACCACGTTTTGACTAAAGGGGGGTCTGTCCATTCCCGACAGATGGGGTCGGGGCAGATGGGGTCGTTCAGTGAGCCTTTTTGGAGGCTCGTTTTCACACACACACACACACACACACACACACACACACACACACACACACACACACACACACGCACACACATGATGCACTTGCTGCATGCTGTGTAGGGGCTACTGAAGGCCACCGAAGGCCACAAACAGCTGCTGTCAGAAGGCGACTAAAGGCCACTCAAGGCCGCTAGTAACACACTAAGGGCCGCTAAAGGGCTAAAGGCCACTACACCGCGGCAGTGCATGTTAGAACGAGCTTCCAAAAAGACTCGCCTAAGGATCGGAGGATCGCGCCGCATCGCCGATGCATGGGCGATGCGGCTCGATGTGGAGTCCGATTTTCTCCGCGCTGACGTCGTTAATTCATCGCCGAAGTCGCGGATGCATCACCGATTCATCGGCGATGCGACGCGATCCTCCGACCCCGTCTACTTCGACCCCAACTGGGGGTCTTCTATCTCCGTCGAAGAGAAGCATTGGGGAACGGTAAGACTAGAGTTCGCTGGAGCTCCGGTTTGTTGGCGGGCCCGTCTTGGATTTTGTTAGTCCAGTTTCTGCTGGATGTTTGTCGCGGGAGTTCATGTACAGTCTCATATTGGCTCTTGTCATTTCCTTGACGGCCCCGTCAGGGAAACCCGAGTCGCCCGAACCAGAGTCTTGCGTCTGCAGAGAGGGGGGTGATGACCAGGGGTCAAGGGCAGAAAAAACGCCCCTACCCTGGTTTACGAGGCGCTGTGCTCTGAACCTCCTGTGGGCTGACATGGCAAACCCTGCATGCTGTGTCGCGTCCTGGCGGCTCTAGGCTTTGAAGGGCCCCAGGAGGTCTACGGACAACGCACTTGTAATCCAGGGTAGGGTCGTTTTTTCATCCCTCAAAGGGGGGGATGTCCGGGACCATGATATTTTCTTGGACTCTCTGAATTTGATGGCCCTTCCTCCGACTGCCCCAGAACCTCACCACGTCGACGTCGAGGATGCTCGGGGGCGAAGGACATATCCGTATCCGCGGCCTCGTGGTCCGGTTCTTGGGCCCGCGACCCCGCGGACACGGGGCGTGGTTTTTCGCTGATGCCCCCGCGCGGAACGTAAGTACGTGTGCGATTGCGTACCCGCGGGATCGCTCCTTGGAGTCCAGACCGCGAGGGCGTGGATGCGTATACGTTCGGCTCTCGTGAGTTGCCCGGGGGTTGGAGCCGCCAGAGGTGCGTTCACTTCGCAGTGGAAAGCGGCATAAACCCAGGGGAGGCCAAGAGGGGGGTGATGGCTAGGAGGGGGATATCATGGCTGGGGCCAATCATATCCCCTCGGATTTCATGGCCCGTCCTCTTACTTCCATACGTTCCCTGGCCCTCTTCTGGGCCGCTGTGCCGCTGGCCGCATGCCTTGCCCAAGAACCTCACCGTCGATATCGAGGTTGCTCGTCGGCGAAAACATATCCGTATCCACGGCCTCGAGGTCTGGCCCCCGGGCCGCGACCCCATGGACACGAGGCATTATTTTTCGTGGATGCCCAGCGCGGTATTAATCCGTTCGACCACGTACCCGCGGATCGCGCCCCGAAAAACCAGATCGCGAGGGTGTGGGTATGGATACGTTCGCCGCTCGCGAGTTGCTTGCAAATTGGCGCCCGCAGAGGGTTCCTCTTCGTCGAGGAAGAGAAAGTGGCATACAGCCAAGACGCTGCAACAAGGACACCTGTAGTTTGTTACCGTTGCTTTATTGTTTCGCCAATCGGCGCGGGCCCGTGGCCTCCCTCCTCATGAACCAGATCTTGGCTATTCTTGGCGGCTGCTTTGGGCGACTAGCCAGGACCCCCTCCCCCCAATCTGCCGGCGCGACTGCTAAAAGCAGATCGACTCAGCACCGGCCCAGACCCCGACCCCCTCCCCCTCCCACAATCTGCGGCCAAGCGCCGAAACCCAGAATATGAAAGCGCTTACCTCGGGAAGGGTTCTGGTGTTCGGCTCGTTCCTAAGATCTGAATCGGGGAACTTATCACCGGGATTTCCAACGCCACCGGGTTTGGGAGTATCAGTTCTGGCTCTCCTTCTGAGTGGCTGGCCGCTCGCTCGCTTCGCTTGCTTTTCTTTTCTTGCTGCCTAGTCGCGGCCCGACTAGTGTTCGGACAGCTTTCGACCCGCCTCGCGAGCCTGTTGACCAAACAGTATCACCACCAGGTCGTTGAGAAGCCCTGCTCATGCGAGCCGACGGGAGAAGGCACGAAGAGACCCACATAATGAAACAAAGCGGGTAATCAGGTAAATAGAAAGATCTCTGGGAGCAAGGGGGTGGCCTTGGAAGGCCTCTTCGGACTATCCCCAGGACCCACGGGGGGCGAGGGGAGGAGGAGGAGGAGGAGGAGGAGGAGGAGGAGGAGGAGGAGGAGGAGGAGCAGCAGGAGCAGGAGGAGCAGCAGGAGCAGGAGGAGCAGGAGGAGCAGGAGAAGGCAAACCGCCTCGTGGGGCCATCGTGGGAAGCTGTTGGGGCGCTCTAGACCTGGAGGGCCTCTTGAGGCCATCTTGGAGGCTATCGATCAAAGGAGGAGGGTCCTAAATTTCCCCCCCCCCACGGGGCCATCAAAATCAGCTCGTGGGGCGTTCTTAGGCACTCTTGGAGCTGTCTACGGGGCCTCTTGGGCCCTCTTCGGATCATCTTGACGCCTCGGAAGCGCATCGGAAGCGAAAAAGCGACCAGGCAGAAATCTTGACCTTAGGTGCTTGATGTATTTGGGTTTCTCGGGAGGGTCCTGGGGGGGCTCCGAGAGCATTTGGAACCTTCTTGCTTCTTGGAGGCATGTTGGAAGCAATGTTGAGCCAACCGCAACTATCTTGAGCCATCTTGGACGTCGTCTTGAAGCATCGGAAGCCTTGAAGGAACAATGTTGGGCGAAGCAAGGCCCTCTGACAGATCGCGGATCCCCCAAAGGGAGGGTACAGGCCTTAGAAGAGGAAAGACAGGTGTCGTTACGTCACCTACGCCCAGGGGGTTGGTGGGATTCGCGCCGAGGCACAGAGATACGTAGCACCCCGCAGTTGCGGATAAGAGTGAGGGGGCGGCGGGGACGTCGGCAGTCTACGAGGTTCTGAAAAAAGCCCGCCGCAGTCGCAGAACTTTCCGAGCTATACAACGAGCCCGCCGCAGGCACTTATTTTTTGGTAAAACAGTGTGGGTGAGTCGACGGTAAGTCGCGGGTGGGTCGCGGGCCAGGTCGCGGGTGGGTCGCAGGTGGGTCGTGGGTGGGTCGCGGGCGGGTCGCGGGGTGGGTCGCGCGTGGGTCGCGGGTGCGTCGCGGGGTGGGTCGCGGGTGCGTCGCGGGGTGGGTCGCGGGTGGGTCGCGGGGTGGGTCGCGGGTGCGTCGCGGGGTGGGTCGCGGGGTGGGTCGCAGGATGGGTCCCGAGGTGGGTCGCGGGTGGGTCGCGGGCGTGACGACGACAACAGACAAACAAACAACAACGCAGCAACGCAACAAGAAGAATCCTCACCACGGATCCCCACTTCAGCCACTCACTCAGGGACAATGAATGGCCGCTCGGTCCCCTCACTCTGATAAGGTGTAGGAGGTTCGGGCGGATTTCTTGGGTCGGCGCTGGCCCTCCCTGAGCAGCGCCTCCTGCGCCGCCCCTGGCACGCTCTGCGGGCCAGGGATGGTGGTCCAGCGCCGATCAAAGAAGTCCGTCGGACTTCCGACGGTTTATTATCATCTGCTCGTTTCGTCGACTTTGTGGGGGGAAGATCAGAGGAGCAGGGAGTGATGAGCACGATGCGTTCCAAGATGTCCAAAGACTCCTTTGGTCCTGCGCGCTGCTCTGGACTCGGTTCGAGGACTCCTGTTGAAGTAGTGCTCGTAAAGAGGTGTGGGCTGGGCGTATACATACATTAGTTCTCGCTTGAGTCCGACGGTATGTGTTTTCTGGGCACGCTTAGGCAAGCAATGGCCCCCGATCATGGCACGCGCATGCACGGCGTTCACCACACCTCGCCATGTAACTTAGCCTTGTGCGCATGTCTGACGTCTGACTGGCTCTTCTGCACCATAACTGTTGTATCTCGTCTGCTCCCTGCCGCATGTCTGTGGCCGCTCCCCGTCATCCACTTGAAGGAGGACGTCTGTTCAGGTAGAGGGGCAGGAATCCGAACGCATGGTGCAGTGTGCATCACAGCAGATTGCCTGGTGGATTAATTTGGCATATGCGAGGGGAGGTGGCGCGCTGATCCATATCAGACCCAGGCCCAGGCGGTAGCTTATATCAGCTAGTGGAGCGTAGTGGGTCTCACGCGCCATTGCTACTGCCGAGTTTGGCACTGGGCATCGACTGCGTAGTCATGCCAGGCTCATGCCTGGAAATGCCAGCCGCGGTTCCGTCCCCCGTGCGCCTCTCTTGGTCCTTCCCTCTCTTCCCTGCTTGTCGAGATGGCGCCAGCTCTCTCAAGCCATCATCGCCCATGATCGTTTCGGCTCTCTGGCCATCCTTCCTCCCCCGATCCGCAGCCGCGCCCCCTCACGCTGCGAGTCACCGACGCTGCTATCCCCAGACCTTCCGCGCGTTCGACTCGTTCGAAGCATTGGCCCCTGGACCTCTTCCTCGTCCCGAGCCGCTGCCTGGTGGGCCAGGGCCCCGCGGCGGGCCCCGGGAGGCCCAGCGCCGCAGCTGCCGCTGCCCCTGCTGCTGCCGTGCGCCCTGGCCGCCGCCGCTGCCCGCCGTGCGGCGTGTGCCGTGCGCCGTGCTGCCGCTGCCGTGGCCCTGGCCGCGCGTCGTGTGCCTCCGCCGCCGGGCCCTGCTGCCGCTTCCGCGCGTCGTGCCGCCGTGGCCGCCGGGGCGCGCCGCCGCGCCGCTGCCGCTGCCGGGCAGCCATTTGGGGAGCGACGGCGGCGCAGGCCGCCCCTGCCGGGGCGGTCCTCGGCCAGGCAGCGGCGCCGGTCATGGCGGCAGCACTGGCGTCGCCGTCGGCGGAGGAGGTCGACGGCGTGCTGGCGGCGCCCATGGGGGGCGTCGGGCGGCATGGCCCAGGCAGCGGGCGCGACCCCAGGCTGTGCGCGCCTTTGGTGCTTTTGGGGGCCTCCAGGGGCCTTCTCGTCGCCACGGCTGGGATTTCCGATCTGGCTTCTGGTCAAGGCGTGCCCTTGGAGCGGTCGGCGGCCCGATGGCTCAATGAAATGGGCTCGTCCGAGATGTCGCTGATGTTGTTGGACTTATGGTGGCCGGCTTCGGGGCGTTGCCGTCAGGAGTTTACGCAGGATGGAAAACAACGAAGAGTCTTTACAATACTAACGGGGACCCCACCCTAAACCCTCGGCTGGCAATTAAACTCGTCCTTCCACTTCTCCTTCCCCTCATCATCCTCACCATCATCATCACCATCAGGGATCCTCATTCCCCCCCCCGACCATTAGCGGTGGCCGCAGCTGGGGAATAGCGCAGAACAAACAAGAAGTATTCTGATTATTGGGGGGGGTAAAGACCCTTTGCAGTAAGCTGTCCCCAGCCGGAGAGGGGTCGGGAGGTCCAGGGGGCCATGTCTCGAAAAAGTCGAACCGCTGGACGTGTTGGGAGATTGAGTTTCTGGCCGGTGGGTGTTCTTCGGTCCCGCAAGTCAATTGTGGGGTTTGTCTCACTTCGTCATCCAATTCCTCCTCTTCGTCTTCGTCTTCCTCCTTCTCCCGTTATTTTGGCCCCGTTGTTGCCCTCTTGGGAAAATGGGAGTGGGAAGGGTTTTTCGCAGGGTGTTCGGCGCCCATGTGTAAACTGCCCTTTGGAACCGCCGCGTTGGACTCATAACCTTGGTAGTTGTGTTTTGGTGTGCGCACGCAGCGAAGCGGGATCAGAGTGGTTGGCTTTTTCGTGTGTCTCCATGTTCGGGTGTCTCTATGATGGGTGCTGAAGAACTTCAAATGTGGTTTCCACCGGTTCGTTTGCGTTCATCTTGTAAGGCTCCTTGAAATTCTGTATGGATCAAAATGCCACAGCATGCTGCGTATTGTAGTCTCGGAACCAAGCAACCCGCGATGCAGGATATTGCGGTCATAGCAACACGAAATCGTAATAGTCGTGAGCAGCAGTACCCAGGTTTCTGCCATTCTCACACTTGGAAGCGAGGTTCCCCTATCAAGAGCATGTGCTATTTTGTAGACGTGTGTTGTTGCAGGTGCGCCCGACACGAAGTTCGATATCGCCCCCCAGTATTGATTAGACACCTGCGGTCGCCGCGTGCGCAGAGTAGCCGCCCCGCCAGTGCGAGCGTTTGCCCGACATCCCTTGAGGTGCTGCAGTCGGCGGACAACGTCGCGCGGCGGCAAGCGGAGGCCTTGCTCTGCCGCTTATCGACTTAGCGTAGAGGGTCATGATTGAAGTTCCCGCTCGTGTGCAGACGAAGATTCAGTGGAAATGCTCCAGGACTGTGTCGAGGGAGGCTTGTGGAGTCGATTTCAAGAGGTTGTCGCCAGCGTGCGATAGAAGTAGTTAAGAATCTGGGGATACCCAGACCAACAAAAACGTACGTGCACATCTGGGAAGAGATGTGTTAATATGTATGATAGATGCCGATGGGTTTGGCATTAGGCCGCAACTTCTTGCCATGGGGACGGGGAGCGCTCTTTGCAATGCACGTCCAGCTGTAGATGCTGCGATATGCCACTAACTTTCCTCCGCCACCCCACACACACACACACACACACATTACATGTGAGGTATTTATGTGTCATGGTTGACGCCGCTGTTAGGGAAATCGCAAATTGTATGTACCCTAGGTGTACCAGATCACTAGTAATAACGCCTGCGACCGAATCTGCGTATTACCCTCGCGACGCCCCAGGCAACCGAAGCGACGAGCTCAGCTCGTCGTCGTCTTCGTCGGCGGCGGCGTCGTCGCCCCTCTTCGCCCTCGCGCGCATCGTCCTCGTCTTCTTCGTCCCCTCGGGAGCACCCCACCCCTCCCCTGGACATCAGGCGCTGGGGTCCCAAGCCCCTAAATCTCGGCTCCGGACCCCAGACCTTCTAGGGGCTAGGCCTTGGGTAGAGGTCTATGGGCGAGGACTTTGTGGTGGACCCTATGGGCGAGGACCGCATCTGGTCTGACGCACTTTGCACTCACTGCATGCAGGACGTCCTCGTGATTCATGCAGGACGCACGCGTCAGCAACCGGCCTGCTCGGCCTGGTCACTTGGGCCCGCCTTCCCGACCCGCTTGTTGGGGTCTACCCGCCCGATCTTCCCGTCCGATTATGCCACGTGTTTTCTGTTCATAGGCACCCTCCTGCTACTCTCTCTCTCTCTCTCTCTCGTGCTCCATCCTTCTCCCTCCCCCGTGTCCCCCGTGTCCCTCCCGTCCGTCCTCTCTTCCCCTGCAGTAGGGGCTGCACGAAGTACACTTTGCAGGTAAGAAAGATATACACACTAGAACCATCGCGCGCGCTTCGCGCGCGCTCAAGTTCTAGCTAGGCTTGATAGGCTAACTCATGTCATCTCATTTTGGTCGCTTCTTGCGTCCAGGGACTCCCTTGGAGGCCCTGCGCAAGCCTCGGAATCGCATAAGAGGGGAAACGCGGAAACGCATAAATCATTACTTGCCTTGAGGTATTCAACAATGCGGTCTGTTGTGCAAGAGTAGACCAGGGGCCAAACTTCAAAAAAAACAGGAATTGTAGGATTTCCATGTTTTTCCAGTTCCTCTGCGCTGTTCGGCGCTGATTTTTGTTTGCGCGTCGCGGGTTTTGTTAGCCAGGCCCCTCAGGGGCGTGGGATCTTCCGGACCCCCTGGGGGTTTGGGAGGCCTCCTGGAGGCCCGGAGAGCCGTCGGAAGGGTGTCGCGGGCTGCGCAGGAGCGTGTTGGGCCGTTCTTTACGTTCTGGGGGCTCGTCATGGGCTGTCCTTCGGCGACTTGGGGTCTCCCCCCGGGAAGCCGGGAGGCGCGGTACCGGCCAGATGTCAGGGGATTTGTAGGACCCCCGAGTGGGAGTCCCATTTTGAAAAAAAGGGGGGATTCTGGGATTTTTCTGTTTTTCTCCAAATCCTCGATATTCGAGGGTTGGAAGCGGGAAAACGTGGGAAGGCGGAAAAACATTAGAAAAACCATGGGACATCAACGATTTTACCCTCTTTGGGATCTCTCGGGACGGCTCTCGCAGCTCTCTTGGGCTGTTCTTGGAGCCTCGTCGGGATCTTCCTGGGGCCTCTCAGGGATCGGGGGGGTGTTGTTGGGGGCCTCTGGGTGGTCCCGGAGGCCTTTCGGAAGTCTCTGGAAGCCTCCTGCTCCCGCTCTTGGTCCCATCTCAGGCCTGTTCTGGGGTGGTCTGGGGCTGTCCTGGGCGCCTCTTCGGCAGTCTTGGAGCCTTCTTGGCCCGTCTTGAGGCCGTCCTGAGGGTCTCTTGGGTGGTCTTGGGGCGGTCTTGGGAGCCTCGTCAGCGCTCTTGGACCGTTGGAAGCTCGAAAACGCGAGAAGCCAAAAACATTGAAAAGAAAACCAATGAAAATCTACGATTGTTGCCTCTTCGGGCCGTCCCGGGACGCCTCTCGGACCTCTCTTGGGGTCTCTTGGAGGTCTCCTGGGAGCCTCGAGAGCCGTCGGAAGGCTGACTTGGGTTGCTTGGGAGCGTTTTGGACCATCCTTTCGCAGTCTGGGGGCTCCTGGGAGGCGTCTCGGGCCCCTCTGGAGCGCTGTGGAGGCCCCCCGGAACGCCCGGGGGAGCTGTACCGGGAGCGTTCCCGAGATGTCACGGGGAGGTGTGGCACCCGAGGCCGCGGGGGGGCTCTATTGGGGTGCTTCTTGGGCCGTCTTCGGGGCCTCTTGTGGTGTTTTTTCGGGTCTCATGGGGGCCTCGTGGGGAGTGGGCGCTTCTTGGAGCCTCTTGGGGTCTCCTGGGGGGCTCTTGGACCAAAAGGCGCGAATTTCTGGTTCCTCGTCCCCGTCTTGGGCGCCGCCTTGGGGCGTTCTTGGGCGGTTTGGGCGCCTCGTGGGCCGTCTTGGCCCCCTCGTGGGCCGTCTTGGGGCCCTCTTGGGAGCATTCTCGACCGGCTTGGGTGCCTCTTGGGCCGTCTTGGACGCAGTGGAAGCCCAACAGGCGAACACGCCAAAAATATCAGCTTTCTTTCGGGAAAGATGTGTGTTTATTGGGGCTCTATTGGAGTGCCCCTTCGGGAGTGTTCGGAGACTCTTTTTGTGTTTTTGTGGGTCTCTTGGGGACCTCTTGGGGCTTCTTGGGCACTTCTTGGAGCCTCTTGGGGTCTCTTGGGGGCCTCTTGGGCCAAATGGCTCGCATTTTCGGTTCCTCGTCCCCGTCTTGGGCGCCGACTTGGGCCGTTGTTGAGCGGTTTAGGCGTGTCGTGGGCCGTCTTGGCCCCCTCGTGGGCCGTCTTGGAGCCCTTTTGAGGGCATCCTCGACCATCTTGGGTGCCTCTTGGGCCGTCTTGGACGCAGTGGAAGCCCAAAAGGCGAACACGCCAAAAATACCAGCTTCTCCATGGGAAATCGACGATTTGTGTTCATTGGGGCTCTATTGGGGTGCCTCTTGGGAGCCTCCTGGGGGTCTCTTGGGGGCCTCTTGGGGCCTCTGGGGGCCTTTGGGGGGCCTCCTGGGGACAGCACTTCCCACAGGGTGCTGGCGCGAACCGTGACGTTACCAGGTGGAGCGGGGGGGGGGAGGGGAAGAGCATCCCTGGCAACGGCCATTATAGCGAATCGCTACCGCGAGGGAAGGAAGGGGAGGAAAACGAGGAGAACGGCCGGCCACTCCCTCCGAGACGGCTGCCCGGCAGGCGCAGCTGGACGCTTGGTCGCAGTCCCCGGGCTTCCTGGCCGTGCTCATGCAGCGCGCGCACCGGGCGCCCGCACCCCCGAGCCGCCAACTCGCGGCGACCGGCCGCGCGCCACAGCGGCCCTTCGCCGGAGGGACCTTCGGTGCGGACCTACAGGGGGTCCCCCACCCCCCCGAGTCCGGGTTTTCCATGCATTCAAGTCGCTTGAAGAATCGTGGCATCGAGGCGCCTCAGGCATCCAGGCATCCAGCACGGGTTTTCCCGGGCGACGGGTACTCGCCGATTTCGGCCGTTGTGGTGCCCCCAGGACCTTCAGCAGATTTCTCGCGATGCAACGGCAGCTCTGGAGTCGGACCTTGGCTACGCACGCATCCACTGAATCATTAAAACTGAGCCTGGCGACTTACCCAGACCATGTGCAGATGCCCATAGCAATGGGATTCTTCACTGACGATGACATGACGGAAATGCGAGGCTGACGCCTTAGACGATGCAGGTGACAGGTTCAATTGATTCCGTATTTTAGGATTTGAGATGACGATGGAGCAGGTCGACGAGGTCTTCCTATTGTTGGTCTGGGTAGGACCGCATTACACTGGACCCCCCAGGAGCCCACGGCGGTGGCAACAAGTGCGCAATTTGTACCCCGCAGGGGATGCGACGTCTCACTCTGATTTTCGAACGACAGCACTGCACTGGACCCTCCCAGGAGCCCACGAAACTGCAGACGGTTGCACCGTTTGCAGATCCGAGGGAGGACGTGATCTCATTCCAGATCCGCGTATGGCGTCACTCCGCCAGGCCTCCAAGGAGCCCACGAAAGTGGCGACGGCTACGCAATTTGCAGACCCCCTGGACCACGAGTCCTAATTCTGATCTGCGTGTGACGTCATTCTGCTGTGCCTCCCAGGAGCCACTCGGCTGGGCTTCCTCGGGGCTGACTTGAGCGGAGACAGCTTCGCAATTCGCAGCCCCCAGAGACGGCGAGGTCGAATGCTGATCCGCGTAGCGCCGCACTGCGTTGGCTCCAACAGGAGCCCGCGAAAATGGCGACAGCTTACCTCTTCAAAGCACCCCCTTGGAGACGACATGGAGTTGGCAGTCCCCCCCAGGAGGAGCGAGGTAGAATGAATGGTAGGAGGCAGGAGGAGGGGGGCCAGGGAGGGAGGCAGGAGGAAGGAGGAGGTGGCAGCGGCGCTGTATCCAAAACGAGAACCCGACGCAGCAGCGCTCGTAAATTCCAGCTGGACCCTCCCCCCCCCCCCCCAGGGACCCCCTGAGGCCGCGCACCAGAGGCCACCTCTGCCTGGGGCCGCGCCCCGCGTGCGGCCGAGGCGACGTTGCTGGCCTGGAGGATCCCGAAGTTCTGGCCGGGACTCTGCGCCCCCGACCAGGACCCCGCCCTGCCGCGCCGCCTCTCGGGGGGGCATTCGGAGCGCAGAAACGTCAGTTGGCGTCGAATCGATGGGATCGCGCAGTTGTAGCGTCGCTTCGCGTACGTGAGCGTCGATTCAGCGTGGACTAGCGTCGATTAGCGATGATTCGCAAGTGCCGACAAGATGATATGGGAGGTTCCCATGAGTCACCACCGAAGGGGCAGAAGATGCCGATGATGCCGCTGCCGCTGCTGCCTCTGCACGTCAGCCAGGATGACTATGTCTTGGAGCGGGCTGGAGGGCTGAGGTATGGCCCAGCACTGGTTCCGTCCAGCAGAAGGGGGGAGGAAGGAGCCCCCTCGTCGCCACGGCTGGACGCGGCTCGAACAAATTGTCGGTTTCCACCCAGGGAGGGATTTGGGGACCGACTCTGAGCGGACGTGCCTTCGTCCACCCTCTTGATGTCCTCGAGGCCCAATCCAGCGCAGACCCCCTGGCCGACATGGAATCGGCCTCGAGAGCGCTGGAGGTGTCCACGAAGACGCGGCCCACGAAGAGGAGGGACACCGCGCAGATGCGCCCAAAGCACAACTTGACTCAGCTCTGGATCTCCTGCCGAGTGCACATCCGCCGAGCACGGGGGCCGCTGCCCGTCCCTCGCGGCCGCGGCGGGATGCGCCGCGAGGCCCTGGTCCGGACGCGCTCCGGGGAGTGGCCTGGGGAGCAGCGGCGTCGGCATGTCTTTTGCCCCCCCCCTCCAGGCTCGGGCCCGGACCTCCGGCCCGGTATTGGTCTTGTGCTCCACGTCGTCTGTCGTGTTTTCCCGGTTTCGGCCGTTGCGGGCCGCCGTCGGGCCAGGGAGCCACGACCAAAAACGACCGGGGCCGAGAGCTGCCCCCCGAGAAGTGGGCTTGACCCCTCGTGATCGGCGCGTGCTTGCTCTTTGGCAGCAGCCCCATCTGGGTTTGGGGGGTCGTGGGTGCGTGTTGGTCCTTCCCTTATGCGCCTTTCCTGGCCCCCCCTCTTCGTTCCCACTGCCTGCAGGGGCGACGGGTCCGCAGCATCGATGTGCTCTTTGTCGAAGAGTGGGGTCGGGAGCCCAGCGCCGTCGTCGTAGGCGTCGCCGTCGTTGCCCCGCCGCCGTGAGGAGCGGTTGCGAACGGTTTGATATGGTGTTCTTCCCATTTTTTCTGGGCGTCATCGTGAGTCACGGCTGGACGCACGCTCGAAAAATTGTCGGGGGCCTGGCCACCGTCAAATGCGAGCCAGGCCCCTTGGAAAGAAACTTGGAGCGTTCGGGCACAGGGTAATAAACCCCATGCCATTGGTTATCAGCCTAAGCGGCGAGTCGCCGCAGGCCTGCGACGCGGTGGCCTCTAGCGCGTTACATTCGTGTGCAAACAGCTTGTCGGCATGAACTCGTCGGCTTCGCTAGCAGCGAATCTCGAGGCCGCGATATCGGACACTTCGCTTGAGGATGAAGAGGCCGCTGTCGGCCACGCTTTGGCACGCGTTTTTCCCCACCCGACAGGTTGGGGTTGTTAGATTTCAAGAACAGGCCCCCCGGCCAACCCCACCCTGCATACCGCGAACGCCAGACCCCAAGTATCCCAGGTATCCCGCCTCTCGCCTGGCCAACCCCACCCTGCATACCGCGGCCGCCAGACCCCAAGTTGTCCCGATGATCCCCGAGAGTCCGGGGTGTCCCGCCTCGCGCCCTTGACGAACACGACAGAACACAACATGACAGAACAGAACATGACAGGGCGGAACAGCGCATGACAGAACATGACATAACAGAGCAGATCAATAAGTAGAGCATGGCAGAGCATCACAGAACATGCCAAAGCAGAACATGACAGAACAGAAGACGACAGAACACAAAGTATCATAACATATCCCAAGCATAACATAACGCACCTTGACAGAACATATCATATGATGGCACAGCATCACAGAACATACCATACTACGACAGCGGAGCATAGCGACGACGAACACGACAGAACACAGCATGACACAACAGAACATGAGAGAACATAACACGAGCATGACAAACCATTGCAGAACATTACATAGCAATGTCATGGCAAAGCAGAGCATAACAGAACATCACAGAACGCACCAGAGCAGAACATGACAGAACAGAAGACGACAGAACACAAAGTATCATAACAGATCCCGAGCATAACATAATGCACCTTGACAGAACAAGAACAAAACATAGCATAGCACAGCATCACAGAACATAACACAACACGTCAGCAGAGCATAGCGACGACGAACACGACAGAACACAACATGACACAACAGAACATGACAGAACATGACAGAACATAACACGAGCGTGACAGAACATTACATAACATGCCATAGCAATGTCATGACAAACTAGGGCATCACATACATCACAGAACATACCGGAGCAAAGCATGGCAGAACAGAAGACGACAGAACACAACATTACAAAGCAGAGCCGAACATAACATAACACATTTTAATATAACAGATCAGATCAGGACACAGCATCACATAACATATCAGTGCACGACAGCAGAGCACAGTGACACATACTAGAAAACCAGATCACAATATACCATAGAACATCACAGGACAGACCAGTGCAGAACATGACAGATCAGAAGACGACAGAACAGAACGTAACACAACAGAGCCGAACATAACATGACACACCTTGACAGAACAGATCAGATCAGGACACAGCATCACAGAGCAGACTATAGCACGATAGAAGAGCATAGCGACGTCGAACACGACAGAGCACAACATGATACAACAGAACATGACATAAGAAAACACGAGCAAGACAGAACATGGCAGAACATCAAATATCAATATCATGACATTGTCCCAGTGCGACCCGACCTAGGAGTTGGAGCATTTAGGAAAGCAACATCTACATCTACACCGACAGCTACATTTACATATACACCTGCATCTACATCTACATCAACATCAACAGCGAGACTCACATCTACACCTACATCTACATCTACGTCTACACCTACATCCACATCTACACCTACACCTAGACCATCCCAGCTGCGCTATGCTATGCTATGCTGTGCTATGCTATGCTATGCTATGCTATGCTGCGCTATGCTGCGCTAGGCTAGGCTATGCTGTGCTATGTTATGATATGCTGCGCTGTGCTATGATAAGCAATGCTATGCTATGCTATGTTATGCAGCGCTATGCTGTGCTATGCTATGCTGAGCTATGCTATGCTATGCTATGCTTGGCTATGCTATGCTATGCTATGCTATGCTGTCCCAATACTGCGCTGCGCTATGCTGCGCTAAGGTAAGCTATGCTAAGCTGAGCTAAGCTAGGCTAAGCTAAGCCAAGCTAAGCTAAGCTAAGCTGAGATAACCTGGGCTGAGCTGAGCTAAGCTAAGCTAAGCTAGGCTAGGCTAGGCTAAGCTAAGCTAAGCTAAGCTGAGATAAACCTGAGCTAAGATGAAGCTAAGCTAAGCTACGATGAAATAAGCTAAGCTAAGATGAGACAAGCAACGCTTAGCTAAGGGAACGTCACTGGGGGAACCGCGGGGCGGATGCCGGGGGACCCGCCCGGGGCGGTTCCCACTGCCCGGCCCTTTAAGCATACACAGTAAGAACCCGTCTAGGCAGAGCCTAGGTTTGGAAAAACAGGGTATAACAGAACATCACAGAACGCACCAGAGCAGAACATGACAGAACAGAAGACGACATAACACAGCATAACATCAAAGAACCGAGCATAACATAACACACCTTGACATAACATATCATATTATGGCACAGCATCACATAACATATCATAACACGACAGCAGAGGATAGCGTCACATGCTAGCATAGCAGATCATAATATGCTAAACTGAACCGGGCCGTCAGCAAACATAACATCACAGAACATGCCAGAGCGGAACATGACACAACAGAAGACGACATAACACAGCATAACATAGCATAACCGAGCACAACGCTAGATTTCATAATTTGACAGACCATATCATATCATTACATCATCACAGATCAGATCATAACACTACAGCAAAGCACAGCGAAACAAATTAGCAGAGCATATCATACTATACTATACTGAGCCGAGCTGCCAACAGCATCACGGAAGAATACATACTCCATCATAAGTTTTCCCAACGTCTCATGTCATAACATAGCGTTATAGAGCCAATCACACCAAAACATACCAAACCATATGGTGGCAGAGATGAGCATAACGTACCATGTTCATCCAGAAGACAAACGTAAGTGAAGAGGAATTTCATAACAGGCGAGGCATCTAACGTCACAGGCGTCACGATGTCACGCTGGCCCGTCGAGAACAGAACAGGACATGATAGAACACACCATGAAAGAACGTAAGGGACTGCGCGCCGTCGGAAACAAACTCTTAAGGTTTCGGTGGGGATTGCTCGAAGCATAACAATTTCTGTTTCTCTTCAGCTGTCGCCGACACGGCTGGGACGGATCAGCCAATTTGTTAGTGAGAGTGCCATTCTTGTAGCACATAACGTCGAAGCACCGACGCCCGCAAGTGTCTCCTATCGCGGGGCCAACGCGCTGGGACAACTTGGCGCGACGGGCGACGCGCTTCGGCAACATGGCGCTGCGGGCTTCGTGCTGGAGGCACCTGGCGATATGGGCAGACCAGTTGTGCTCAGGATGAACCTGGAAGAACCAGGAAACTGGGGAGCGATATGCCCTACCATTTCGATAACGCGTTTCTTTCCCCGTGGCCATACACCAGAACACAACAGGGTTGCGGTGACAGCCGGAATGAACCAGAGCGCGCAGCAGGCAGAGGGATACCAATGGGCGTTCAGTCAGCGCATGCAACGCCAATGAGCGTCGGGCCGACGCGGTCCATAACAGTAAGCGTCGAATCGACGCGGACCAAAGGGATGAGTGTCGAGCCGGCGCATACCACAACGTTCGTCGAGTCGGCGCACACAATGCCGATGAACGTCGGGCCAACGCGGTCCATAACGATAA